GGCAGTAGAAGCTGAGACATTATGGGTGTAAGCACTCAGCTTCTATTCCCTTATTTGATTTTTTATGATTTTCCATGACGGCTGACTAGATTGACATCGGCGTTTGGATATTGTCTGATACATGAGATATCCCCAACGCATTTGAGTGCTATTACGACAGACATTATCTGTTATGACAATAAGTTGATAACCTGGACCGATAATGGTAATATATATATATATATGATGGAAAAACTGTTTAATGTTGAACTCCAAATATTTGATTTCATTTTTTTATATATGTTATTACGATTGCTAGAGAAACACAAGATGGATACAGATGTAACACAATATAAATTATATTATTATGACAATATCGACAGATATAACTTTTGATGGACACGCTGTTCTTTTATTTATCGCACGGTCGTTCGTTTTTCTCATGTTGTTTATATATTTATTTATTCGTCTACTCCAGTTTTCATTCTCTTGTTTTCAGAACGCAGTTTGTCCAAATTTAAATAATGATGATCATCCCTGCACTGTAAACCCAGTCCAGAGTTTTTCTCCAGCTCTAGCGTCAGAACTGCTACGTGCCAGTTACGATCTTTGTTTTGTTTCTTGTTCTTTCCTACTATAGGGTGGGAGAAAACTTTAAAAAAACACACAAGAAAAACGTTTGTAAAAAAAATGAAGAAATATTTCATAAGCTTCATCAGGATACGAGCATTTCTTATTTACAAACACGTGCTTTTAGTTTCACAGTAAAGTAATATCCTCATGACAATCATTGAGAACGTTACTTTGATTAACAGACAAGTTAAAAAAATTGAAGGGAAAATTTCAGTAAATTGTCATTCCAAACGTATGAGCTAAAACTATTTACAAATAATCTGGCAATGTATGTTAATGTATCGAACCAATGATCTTGCTATATTAAACACAACGTAATAACGTTTTGATTGAGTTTTGTGGATTTCCTCTCCTCACAAAAAACGTTTCGATTCGTTTAACACTAACTTATTAATACTTTTCCATAGCTTAACTTATTGTTAATAGTTGTGAACATGTACGTGTAAGTACATTTCATGTTTATTAGATCGAAGTTTAACTCTAAAACGTGAAGAACAACTTAATTTTGTAGCAGTAACATTTACGAAAATAAGCAACCATGCTTACCCACTAATTTGTACATTTACTACTAGATGGCAGGGCCGTAGTTTTTGTCTGTTCGTGATATCAACCAATATTTCAAAACTACATTGAAAAACAACACATTTAATTTTTGCAACAATGAAACAACTTAAAATTATTTCTGTTTCTTTAGGACTTATGGATAAACTCGCTATATTTCCCGCTTTCGTGGTACGGTAACCACTGAAAGATTTTTAAAGAATGAAAACAAATGGTGTTACTATCCACGACATATATATTGTTATCGTGTTCATTGTATTTTACCCGCGTGTGGACAAAATGTAAATGATGAAATTATCGTTTAAAACTGCTAGTCGGAAATATTCCGAAAGGTTCAGTCGTCAAAGATTAATTCAAAAATTAAAATATTACCAGGATGGTAAGACGAACCTTTGATATCTCTGGTGATATTACGTTTGTGGAAAACGTTAGACAGTAAAATGCATCACGTGCATAAATTATGATAACAAAAAATTAACTAATTCATTTGCCCTAAAAAATTCTTTTTTTAAATATTCAAAATAAAATTTTTGCTGTATCATGTCACGCTACTTAGCATTATAAAGGCAGTTTAATTAACCCACATTATCTCCGTTACATCCCTTCTAGCTATGGTTAGTCAAATGGATGAGAAACTGACTCATCAAAAAATAGCTAGAAAAGACACGTCACTTGAAGTTAAATACGCATGCGCAATTTCAACTCAATTCTGTATTTCAACCTTCGCTTCATTTTGTTGTAACATCTATATTAAAAACGGTACATTTAGTATATTTTTTTTAACTTAGTAGGCATAATTACTATAAAGAATACAAATGAAATAAATTAGAGGTTTCCTTTCGTTAACTTAAATATTAACTAAACTTATATGAGATGATTAATGATATCGTTATTATCTTATCTTTATGCAAAACACAACGTTTATAGGGCTCTAAAGAACCGTACATGGTCAATGTATGTTACATATAATCATCCAATAAAAACACCCACGATTTTCTTTAGCTACCTCTGTAATGGAAATTTTCATTGCGTTCAGCGAATACAAACTTCGCGTCTGGGGGAGGGGGGATCAGATGCGGAATTATTTTGGCTACGTAATCAAATCGTTTCATTTTTTGTCTTTCATTATAGAAAACTGCACATTAAAATACCTAATGTGAACATCTTTATGTGAATCATGTGTAAAAAAAAAAAAGTACACAGAACAGTTAAAACATAATCAGTTGTACCCGAGGCAGTGGAAATGGCGTTTTATGCAACATTTTAATTTTTGAAATCTAATTTTAAAAAAAAAACTGTACTGGTCTTACTCGAATAATTGAAATTGTAATAACGTTAAATCAGGACTAATTTGATATATAAAGGAAATTGCACGAACTGGTTTTAAAGGGTCATAAAATTGTGTTAATTTGCATTTTACATAGGCTAATCCTTGAATCAAAAGCGTTACCTGCACTCTCGACTCCACTAAGTCTAATCTCATCGCCAGGGCTTCTCTCATAAAAACGTCTGGGTAGTGACTCGCTTGAAAGGCTTTTTCCATCTCTTCGAGCTGCCAGCCGTTAAAGTTAGTCCTTGTTCGGCGCCTTTTACCTTGCACACCGCTCCCTAGTGAGTCCTTTTCGCTGTCTGAGTCTGTGATGGGAAAGCGTTATATTAGACTACATTGAAAACGTTGACCCGAACATACGACTTTTACCTCTGACATAACATTATTATTTCAAAGAGCAGCGCATCATCTATCAATTGAGTGCGTACAAAATCAATCAGTAATTAATAGCTACAAGGATGACACACAAAGGGGGACATCAACAATGTCTACCAAATAACGCCAGTTCATCCAAAAGTAATCGTGCATAAATATTGGATACGTGATCATTATCCCCGGAGAACAAAATTTCAAATGTTAACAACAAACCAGCTAATTTCAAGTTATCGAAGTCGTCACTAAAAAACTTATCTGGCTCATTCTAGCTATCAGGACTTAAACTTATCTGGCTCATTCTAGCTATCAGGACTTAAACTTATCTGGCTCATTCTAGCTATCAGGACTTAAACTTATCTGGCTCATTTTAGCTATCAGGACTTGAGCGTTCGAGGCAAACACCATATTTGTATTTAAATATAACTATATCAAGCTTTAGAGGTATACGTAAACAAAGCAATCTATAACTAAGATAGACACTTTATCAACCCTTGTTCTGTGCTCCTTCTGATTTCTATAAAATAAAACGTTTTATCAACGCACTTGCTTTCATTTTATTGAAGGATATATTGTAGGATGTCGGGACATATATCTCCAGCTGATATCTATGTGTTGGAGATTATATGACATTCCTGTACATTTTTCTGTAACTACATATGTGAAAAAATGCTAATTGCTCAGTTTTTTAGTTAGTTTGTTGTTAATCACAAAGCTACACAATGAGCTATCTGTGCTCTGCCCATTAAACATTAAAATAACTAGCTTATTGGGCCACCAGTAAAGTTAATCAAGTAAAAATGATGAAATCAAATAAAACATATTGTGCAACCATAACGTAGCGTAATTCTGACGTGTAAATGACTTGAATATAATTGATAATAATTATACTTCATTTTTTGTGCAACCATAACGTACCGTAATTCTGACGTGTAAATGACTTGAATATAATTGATAATAATTATATTTCATTTTTTGATAGTCTCTAATTTCGATACTTTGGTTCACTTGAAAAATCGATCACTGACCACTTTAGGCCAGTATATCTTGAGATTAAAATTAGTACAATGTAAACTAATCTAAATCTATTCAGTTGGCCGAGCCAATCACAGTTTCAACCATAGTGTGGTAACTCTTACTTGGACACACATTGCTAGTTACAATAAATATCTACTTATGTTTATTAGTTTTTATTATTATGATTATTCTGCATTTTTTGCTTAGTATGTGGATTTAGGACTAACTCAAATCTCCTAGTCTGGCTGAACCACATGAAATATTATTGGGTTTACGGCCGAAAATGCCGTTCACATCAAGAATACCCAACTGAAGAAACAATGATTTCTAATCTTTATAAATAGTATAGTTCGAACAATATATTTAATTAGCCATGCTCGTTACTAGGTATATATATATTTAGTTCTGATCTAGGTAAATAGCTGACTTTGATCAGAAGTTAATATTAAATAGGTATATGCATAAAAGGAAATTATAAATTAAATTATGACAATCTATGGTTTTATACTAGGAAATGGGGGGCATAGGTTAATTATTTGTAGGCTACATATTACAGGTCGTCATTTTAAGGGGACACTGACATGGCTTAGTCAAATAAGACCTACAGTTGAAGGTCATTAGTCACTAAACAAAATTAGGGCGTAATCGAATAAGAAGCTTACAAGCTGAAATGAAAGCCAAAGGCATTTTAACAGACTTATCAATAATCTTAAACGCGGGAACAATAATTATTTATGTTAACACTCAGAAGAAAACTGATGAAACATTTGAAAGCAAAAAAAAAAAACGTTCGTAGAAAATGGAATTTTATTTAGGACGATTGTTTGTTATAAGGCAAAACCACAATCGGCTATCTGCTGTATCCGTCGCTGTGAATCGAACCCCGGATTTTATCGTCGTAACTCCATAGACTTTCCACTGTCCCACCGGGAGGACTATTGAAGGTTCTAATTAACCATCCTTACAAATTTTTGGAGAAAATTTACCTTATAACGCATAGATTAGTCCAAGTTTTGGAGAAAAGTTACCTTATAACGCATAGATTAGTCCATGTTTTGGAGAAAAAATCTATGCGTTATAAGGTAACAGTCCATGTTTTGGAGAAAAGTTACATTATAACGCATAGATTAGTCCATGTTTTTGTATGCATGCTTAGGCAACCTTAACCAACTAACAATAAAAACGAAAAACACTGATCCGCATGGATAACCTCAATCTTTCTTGAAATAGCGGATTTTAACGTGATAGTCATACATATAATTTCAGTTCTCTAATTGTTTTAATAGCAACTATAACTCTAACTATTGCAGTTGTAGTATGGAAAATGTTAAAAGTCAAGGCTATTCAGTGGTTGGTGTACATTTTGTATAGTTCTTGACAATGATGTTGCCCGCGCGAAAAGGTCAAATCTGTTCATGGTATTGGTATGCATTGTTTATTGTGTGTGTGTATCATGCAATGCCAGTACACGTACTGGGATAAGACAATCCGTCAAACAATGTTATGTGTAATGTTTTCTTTGTTTAAGAAATTTTCCCGGTTATTTTTAAGATATATTAAATTTTGTGATTTCTGAAATTTATTGATATGTTAGTTTTCGAACTGAAATTGTTTGTTTGTTTTGGAATTTCGCGCAAAGCTACACGAGGGCTATCTGCGCTAGCCGTTCCTAATTTAGCAGTGTAAGACTAGAGGGAAGGCAGCTTGTCA